TTCCAAGACCAGGCGGAGAGTACGTGGACTGACCAAGGTAAAAACTGCCGTGCCCAGTACAACCACCCCCACACGTCACTTCTGTGGAGATAAAACGTCATTAATTAGAGGGACAGGGTACTGAGAAACCATGATGGTAAAAGTAAAATGTGTACTTGGATGAAAAAACGATTCTTCGCGGCAGGGGATCGTATTCCAGGGACCATAGGATTAAGGACTTGCCCGAAACGCTACGCGTACTAGTGGCTGTACAAGAATGTAACAACTCTTGTATATATCTTGTATATGATAACACTCATACTTTCTCAGTGCCCTGCCCACTCCCCGGTGTTTCTCACTCACCGGGGAGTTGACATTATGCTCGTAGCACAACCTAGGTGGCGCCGATCTTGATCCCCCACCTCACCAGAGGTCGTCCACAACGATCTCTGACTAAGGCAGGAAACCAGAGCCATATGCCGACGTCACGCCACCACCAATAGATGGCGTTGTCTACGTAGCGTCCAATATCAGGGGAGTTTGAGTGCAGATTCATAGATGTCGCTGGAATAGCCACTCCTCACTCCGATGGTGGTGACGATTCCCTCCAATGTGTAGTAATATATTACAATACATAGTTACCACACTGCATGACGTAGCTTGATACGTGAGGTTATTATACATATATTAAAGATAATCAATAAAAGCTGTAATATGAACAACATCCAATGAGGTCTCAAGACATTGTCTCCACTCTGGAATCCTCTGTCACTACTCATAGGATGATTATAGAGTACACAGTACAATACCACTCACAGGACTAGTATAGGGTACATAATAAACTACCGCCCAAAGGACGAGTATGGGGTACACAATAAACCAGCTTTCACAGGATGAGTATGGTGTACACAATAACCTATTGCTCACAGAATTAATATCAGGTGCACAATATCTACCGCCACAGGATGAGTATTGGGTGCACAATAAACCATTGCTTATCTCTCACAGAATAATTATTTGGTACACAATAAACTGCTTTTCTCAAAATATGAGTATAGATGCAAAGTAAACTACCGCTCACAGGATGAATATGGAAATCAGGATAAACTACCTGTCACAGGATGAGTATGGAGTACTCAAAACACTACCGCTCAAAGGATGAGTATGGGGTGCACAATAAACTACTACTCATAGGATGTGTATGGTGTGCACAATAAACTACTGCTCATAGGATGTGTATTGTGTGCACAATAAACTATCAATCACGGGATGAATATGGGGTGCATAATAAACTATCACTAATAAGATGAGTATGGATTTCTCAATAAACTCCTACCCATAGGATGAGTATGGGATACACAATAAACTACCATTTAATGGATAAGTATGCAGTGCACAATAAACATCCACTCACAGGATGAGTATGGGATAAACAACAAATTACAACTTATTGGATGAGTAAGGAGTGCACAGCAAACAACCGCTCACAAGATGGGCAAGATGTACACAGTGAATATTTGAGCACATTAAACTAATAATCACAGGATGAGTAAGGATTGCACATTAAAGAACCACTCATTGGATGAGTATGATGATCAGGATAAACTACCTCTCATAGGATTAGTATGTAATATGGTATAAATCGTTCAATACTGCTCGAGAATAGAATAGTATCCCACTAATTTTCAATTTCCACTCCGTGCTCTGGCACTGGAAAATGAGGACAAGTAAAACGTGAACTAACAACTAAACTCCAGTGTATTTACAAGTCAACACATACAAAAATATGTCCACACTCAATCATACACCTAAGATGCTGCGCCTGACTTGTCCAATGTTGAGGGCAAAGTCAGCACCTACTTCTAACACGGTGGAATAATATATGATAAGAATGGCTACTACACACACTCCACAGTAATTCATATTGATTTAACCTAATTATCTCCTATTAAATCTGAATAAAACTTAACTTAATGTGAGCCATGCCCTTAGAAAATCACAGGCCCATCTCACTCACTCCATGTCCTGCATTTAACTCCAAAACCGAGCGTTTCTTCCTGCATGCGGCCTATATTCCAGCGAATGTGTCAGTTTAGTTCATTTATTATGCACCCCATACCCATCTTGTGGTCGGTTGTGGAAAAGGGGTTACAGAGGCACATAATTGCCTCAGAGATTGAACCCCCACAATTCATTTAGCTAAGCAAGTTACAATCTTGATGAGCTAGTTACAAAATTCAGTATACGTCGTCATATCATCAATGGGTTCCAGATCGACCAAAAGTACAGTTTATAAATTAAGCAACTGACATTTGTGGAGAGTTTTCGAGCACTTATTTTGCCTAGTAATTTTTCTACTAGGCTATCTTTCCTGATCTTTCTTTCATTTACTTAGAAACTGTTAAGCAAAATCAAGCTCATCATTACTAGGACAACATCTAAGTAAATGAATCAGTATTAATAAATTACATAGTATCTAACAGGTTCCTCAAACTGGTCGTGGTGGTATGCCTGGCTTAACTTTGCCTGCTGCCACATGCATTCAGAGAGTAACATTACTGCTAATCAAGACTATGGACTGAATATACCCTCACAGGTGCTAAGTATATGAATAACTTATTACATACAATAGGTTCGTAACTGAAATCTAACATACACATGATTTACTTAATCATGGAAATATGACGTGCATGGCAAGCCCGGCCTCGTGTCCACCAGATGCCATGGGGGTCGGGGTGGGGGGGGGTGGCTAGGCTGCTCTCAAGCATGGAATTTCCGCTATAATTAAACATTACATATCATGTATAAACCTGCTTGGGCAAAACCTCATTCATCCACACATTTAACTGTACGACTCCCGATATCTACAACACACCTCAGGTCAAGGCAACATCAAGTAAACTCCCATACATTCTTCACACGCACGCACGCACTACAGGTTGGTACAGCCTGACCCCAACATCCTGTCTCTCACCTCAGACTACCAGTCTCAGAGGCTACCCTGACTCCTCACGACTTGCGCTCTTGTGCGCCCTCACATATATCCGTACAACACACGAATACACGCCATGATATCAATAATACATCCATAATACTCTCCCCCTTCATATACACTAACAGAATAACAATACAAGGCAAATTCTAGCATTTTATTTCATCTAATGACTAATACCATTAATATTTATACGGAAACGTTACCAGTCAGTTATCCAATTAGATAGAACTGGATCGTAACATATTACTCAGTAAACTACCGCTCACAGGATGAGTGTTGGAATACAATAATCTGCTGCTCAGAGGAGATGTATGGGGTGCACAATGAACTATCACTCACAAGATGAGTATGGGGTGCACAGTGAACTATCACTCACAAGATGAGTATGGGGTGCACAGTGAACTATCACTCACAAGATGAGTATGGGGTGCACAGTGAACTATCACTCACAAGATGAGTATGGGGTGCACAGTGAACTATCACTCACAAGATGAGTATGGGGTGCACAGTGAACTATCACTCACAAGATGAGTATGGGGTGCACAGTGAACTATCACTCACAAGATGAGTATGGGGTGCACAGTGAACTATCACTCACAAGATGAGTATGGGGTGCACAGTGAACTATCACTCACAAGATGAGTACAAGGTGCATAATAAAATACCCCACACACAGTATGAGTATTGGGTGCACAACATACTACTGCTCACAGGATGAGTATGGGTGCTGTGGGGAACCGACTTGTAAGATTTATATTTATTTTATTTATATGAATTTATATAGAATTTATGTTGAAAATATCCAACATATATTCATCATATTTAGTACTTCAATAAATCATGATTTTCAATAAATCTTGATTTATTGAAAAATCATCCAATAAATCAAGATTTTCACAATCTTGATAATTTTCAAGATTGTGAAAATTATTTTCTTTATTTAGTGCAAATTAACTGGCAAAGGGGCATCAACTTGATCATCTTTCGAAAGACCTGCGCATGAGGGACAGAAGGTGTTTAGTAAGCATGTTTGTGGAGGCTACGTGGAGTGCCGCGAAGCATAACAACAGCGATGAACAGGTATACCTTCTAAGGCATACATCCATACGTTTAATTATTATGCAAATGTTGCGTCATCCTTTAATTATGCAGAGTTTCAAACATCGTTTGATTATGCGCATTTTAAATCATCATTTTATTATGCGCATTTTGAGTTATTATGAGATTTTCTAGTTATCGTTTAATTTTGTGTATTTGATCTCACCTAATTATGAACATTTTGTGCTATCGTTGAATAATGCGCATTTTGAAAGATCTTTTAAGGGGTCATAACTTAGTTTCTTATAAGCTGTTCAATGTCAACCAATCTTTTTTGACTAGTTGTATATGAAAAAAGCTGCAACTGTTCCAATTTTCAGTATCGCAGCCTAAATAAAAACGGAGATTTTTTTTCAACGAATTTTACACATTTTCAGTAAGCCTCTACAACCACAAGTTTCAAATGAAATTATTTCTATGCTACTGTTCTATTACATTAGCATATAATAAAGGATTTGCACGAGTGGATTTTCCAAAATATGTTTAGTTTTACTAATACAAATAGTCAAACTTCCCCCCACCAAAATTATGCAAATATATCATGTTTATTACTATTTATAAAATTAATAAATGAACTTAATGAAAAACGCTTCATACAGGTTGTAGAGACATAACCTGCACATATAAGGTGTAAGTTTCATGTAAATTGAATAAAAAATGAAATGGTAGAAGTTACATTTAAGTTACTAGAAAATAAATAATTAAAAATGAAGTCTAAGGTGATGCCATCTGTGGCTGAGATTGACATCAACCAATTTCCTCCAAAATTGGCACCCTTACAGATAGGCTTACGTGCCTATCATTTAATTATGACCATTTTTAGTCTTCATTTAATGATGTGCATTTTAAGTCATTGTTTAATTATGAACATTTATAGTTATTTATTTTTATGAATTTTGAGTTATCGTTGAATTATGTGGATTTTCAGCCATCGTTGAATTATGCGCATTCAGAGTCATCATCATCTCTCTCTCTCTCTCTTCTGCCATAACCACCAACATGCTGTTAGCCCACCACCTATCTTCCACCACCTGGGAGCTGGCAGGCCCCTGCAGGCATTGGATGGCTGGCCCCAGGGAGCGGATCAGCCACAAGCCATCCTACCAACACAGCTAATTAATTTTAGTTTAATTTAATTAATTTTAATTAATTAATTAATTCTAATTTAGTATTTTAGCTAATTACGGGCAAAGTATGATGCACAATTTCTTTTTAATTCTATGAACATCATTGCGAAATGTTTTATATGATACTAAGAAAAATAAAAATAATAATTCCAAGTCCAGCTATTATGTTAGATGGGGTTCTTGTTGGCCCCGATACCTTGCAATGATTTCGGAGCTCAACGTCCCCGCGGCACGGTCCTTGACCAGGCCTCCTCTGCTGAATACAGCCACGCGTTCTTTCCTGCCCAATGTGCTGTAGTTAATGATCCCCAACCACTTATGGACGGTTGGGGATTGAACGCCGACCTGCATGAAGCGAGACCGTTGTTCTTCCATCCACCCCAAGTGGTGGAACAAAACGGATTTGGGATGGGACAGGGGGAAGAAATGATGCCCAAGCACTTGGACGGTCGGGGATCGAACGCCGACCTACATGAAGGGAGACCGTCGCTCTACCGTCCAGCCCAAGTTGTTGGACGTAAAAAACACTATTTTTTTTTATTCCAATATACCATTGACCGTGATAAAAAAAACACGATCATTGGTATAGCTGAAAAAGCATCTTCTGTTTTCTGTCCTACACTGTGGCTTGCTGAATTGGAAAGCGTTGACCCCTTGTGTGCGTTACATTTGACCTTTTAAAGGATTGATCTGGATTAATGTCCTCCAACTTGATGATGGATTTGACCTCTGACCCGCCCCCCTTAGCACGTCTAGCGTTAGCAACCTGTCCTCTTATAAATTACGTCTGAATTTGGCCGTTTACTCGTATGGCCGAAAATGGACGTAATTTAAAAATGAAAAAAAACTGGGTATAAGGCCTTGCCGAATGGGACGGTATATTGGCAGCCTAGCCTTATGTGGCAACTGCGAACGGTGGACCCACAGAACCTGGCAGTGCGCTGACCGAACTAGGTGTGGGTGTTGCAGTGGCCTCCACGACACTAAGCTATGTCTGCAGAAGATTAGGGATAAGAACACAGTAACACCCAAATGTGTCAACTGCAGGCAACCCTACCACGCCTGGAACCGGCAATGCACCTTGAGGACTGCATGGTGTGTCCCAACAAGAACGACCCCTCAGGTCACAGACGATCCGGTGACTGGTGGGACCCGGACCCGGGACCCAAGGCCCGGACCGGGCCCCGACCCGGGGCTCCATCACCCTGCTCACGCCTCGGCCTGGGGCTTGCGCTTATGCACACTGCAACAACATGGTGCTGGGGCACCATGCAACAGCGCCGGTGCACACTGCAACAATACCAATGAACATAGCAACACCAGTGTGCACAGCAACACAAGTGCACACTACCGCCAGTCAGTATGAAATACATAACACAAGTGAACATAACAGTGCACATAGCGCATCTGATAACAAACATCCTTAAGATGGATAATCAAATTCAAGAACGTCTCACTATACTACAATGGAACTGCAACGGAATCCACAATAGAATTAATGACATCATACAGTATGTCCGTGAACACCAAACTGAAGTCATAGTGCTACAGGAAAAGCTGGTGGGTGATGACTTCAATCCAAGATTCAGCGGTTATCGCAAGTTCTCCTTGCCCTCTGGGGAAAGAAAACGGGGTCTCATCATTTTTGTAGATAACAATATTTCTGCATAGGTTATTGATGAGCTCCACATAGGGGATGAGTTTGAATCACTGGGAGTAACCCTTTACTTAAACAATAATGCCCTACATATAATCAACCTATATGTGCCACAGAGTAAACTTGACCTTGACACACTGCCTGAGTTTGTTAATGAAGAACCTACCCTGCTGGTCGGTGACCTTAATGCCAGACACCCACACTTTGGTGCCAACTGTCATCACCCCAATGTCAATGGACGGAAACTGTCACTCTTTGTCAGGGGAAGTGAAAACCTCAGGGTCCTGGAAGATGAACAGCCAACTCACCTCAGAGGAGGAAGATTGGACTATGCTCTTCTGCTGAATGCACAGGACACGGCTACCAGCACACACATTGTGCACAGTTTATGTAGTGACCATTGGGCACTGATTACCACCGTCGACATGAGCAAGAGAAGGAAAGACACAAATAAAAGAAAAAGGTTATCACTCGGACCAAATATGAGGCCGCTCTTCATAAACAGGATGAGTGACTGGTTCACGGAATACCAAATCCCAGAAGACACTGATAAATTTGTTGATGATCTTAATAACCAAATTGATCTTAATATAAAGATGCTCAATGCAAATGTAAGGGCCATGAGTAGAGAGTACCGGAGAAATCCCACTGGCAGCAAACAAAAGCTGTTTAAAATTGTGTGTCAAGTAGCCATGGAAGAGAAGATTAAAGAGCGTGAAAGACAATGGCTTGAATTCACTAGCTCTATTGGAAGAGAAATGTCTGCTTGACAAGTGTGGGCAAAAATTCAGATAGCTAAAGGAGGCAGGGGGGGTGGGAGTGGCAGAACCCGGCCTGCGGCTCACAAAGACTACAAGGGTAAGGCTGAGGAACTAATTCACAAGTAGAGTGAAGCTTCATCCCTCTTCTCCCTCCCTCCAGAAGTAAGCAGGAAACAGCTCCTGCAACATAATGTCAGGAGAATCAGGATAACAAGAACACAGACCAGTGATGATGTGTATGGAGAACCAATCACAGCCCAGGAAGTAAGGGGCGCTATGAAAAAGGGTTAAAGTACTGCACCTGGTGAGGATGGAGTCACCTGTGCCATACTTAATGTACTGTGTGAAGTGTTTGGGAATCCACTACTCCACCTGTTTAACAAACCATTCCTAAGTGGAGTGTTGCCCACACAGTGGAAACATGCAGTAATCGTTCCAATACTGAAGCCCAATGACCCTGGCAATTACAGACCTATCAGTCTTATGTCATGCACTTGCAAGATGCTTGAAAGGATCATTCTAAACCGACTGTTGCACAAAATAGGTAGGTTAGGGGAGGGGGTCAATGGATTTGTTGAAGGACGGAACACAGCAAATTGTATAATTAATTACTTGGCGTAAAACTATGCTTTTCCTGAAAAATAGCACCATCTGTTGCATGTAAGAGAAACACACATGCTATACTAAATATGCTACAATTCCATTTCAATGTTTCTGATTGAATTTTCATAGATTTTTATTTTTTTTTCATTTTTATTTTTTTTCATTTTTATTTAATTATTTTGTGTGAATTGTGTTGGAATTGAGCTGTGTTTTTTACCATACCGTGGTCTCCGTACCATACAGCAGTCTCCGTGGCGCAGTGGTAAGACACTCGCCTGGCGTTTCGCAAGCGCCTTGCCTTGGGTTCGAATCCTGGCCGGGGAGGATTGACCGGGCGCCAATCCTTAACTGTAGCCTCTGTTCACCCAGCAGTGAATGGGTACCTGGTTGTTAAACGATTCGGCGGGGTCGTATTCCGGGGAAATTAGGGTTAAGGACCTTGCCCGAAACGCTGCGCGTAATAGTGGCTTTACAAGAATGTAAAACTCTTGTATACCGTTCATTTCGTGAGTTTAGTTTACTTTTTTATTTTTTCATATTTTCATTTCATTTTTAATTGTTTTTCTTACATTTCAGTGATGGGAACATCAGATCACTTGATGTTCCCAATTTTCTGATGGGAACATCAGACCATTTGGGAAGGCATCGGACGAGGGAGTGGGGAATGTTGGGGATGACGAGGGGACAATGGGAGGGGGTAATGGTTATCTTGAGGTTATCTTGAGATGATTTCGGGGCTTTTAGTGTCCCCGCGGCCCGGTCCTCGACCAGGCCTCCACCCCCAGGAAGCAGCCCGTGACAGCTGACTAACACCCAGGTACCTATTTTACTGCTAGGTAACAGGGGCATAGGGTGAAAGAAACTCTGCCCATTGTTTCTCGTCGGTGCCCGGGATCGAACCCGGGACCACAGGATCACAAGTCCAGTGTGCAGTCCGCTCGGCCGACCGGCTCCCGGTCGGCCGAGAACATTTCCATGGTGGGGAGGACGAGGGGACGGTGGAGTGGGGAATGGTGGGGAGACCGATGAGACGGGTAAGGGGGAAATGGTGGGGAGGACTGGGGGACAGGGAAAGTTGCTGTGGCTCAGCAACGCACATGCGATGCTGAGCCACAGCAACGCGTTTCCGGGTACTGCTAGTATATTATAATATTAATTTATATTTGAGAAAATTCCCGTTTTCAACGAACAGCATGTAAAAATTAATGAATGCGTGTGGGGTCAACCGCTGGATGTAATGGACTTGAGTCGAAGACGGGTTGATTTTTGGCTATAGAGCGCATACGAGGGAAAAGCGACGTTATGTTTTAGAGGACGGGTTGCACTGGCTGCTCTTGCCTAGTCAAAATTTTCCTGTTTCAAAGTGATCGTCCATAAGGCCGGTAATCGTGGCCACGCTAGTCAAGGACGCTCAAAAAACTGGTTTGAAGAAAGAGCACTGTCTACACCAACATCGCTGTACACCTGAACTTAATGAGCATGGTATTCATAGACGTCACTGTACTTTACACCTTCATGGGCATGGTGTACACTGACGTCACTGTTCACTATACCTTCATGGGCATGATGTACACTGACGTCACTGTTCACTATACCTTCATGGGCATGGTGTACACTGACGTCACTGTTCACTATACCTTCATGGGCATGATGTACACTGACGTCACTGTTCACTATACCTTCATGGGCATGATGTACACTGACGTCACTGTTCACTATACCTTCATGGGCATGGTGTACACTGACGTCACTGTTCACTATACCTTCATGGGCATGATGTACACTGTACCTTCACCTGCATGGTATACACTGACGCCACTGTACCCTCACGGCCATAGGGTACACTGATGCCACTGTTCCCTCAGGTCTATAGGGTACACTGACGTCTCCGTACAATATAGCTTCATGGGCACAGTGACGTCACTGTACAATATACCTTCATGGACATGATGTACACTGTACCTTCATTTGCATGGTATAAACTGATGCACTTGTAACCTCACGACCATTGGGTACACTGACGTCACTGCACAGTGTAGCCTCACCCCACCAGTGCGGTCCTAACAGTTACTCTCAAGCAGTGACTACGGGGAAGTGAGCTAAACAGCTTTTCACGCCTCGCTATCTCTTTTAGCTTTCTTGTTCTTTTTAATTCATAATTAAAATAATAATTATAATATTAATATTTATAAAATATACATAAGAACATGGTACAGTTGTTGATTAGTAACAACTAATTCTGTATTATATGGTATATTATACCATTAATTATGAGTAGTTTCGAATACTTTATCGAATTTATCCATAAATATGTGGATGGAAGGCATCCATTTTTGAATGGACTCAATCCCATTCTATGAGCTGAGGTAGACTCCATATGGGCCAAGCACATACTTTCACTCACGCGCGTGCTGACAATTTATTACAATGATTCACTTTGTTTACCTTTTCAAAATCTAATAAAAATATGGAAACCACATGAGTCCACAGTTTTCATCTGTGTACTGTAGTGGATCCGATTCCCATCGTGTGGACTGTGTGCAACCCATACCCATCCTTTGGTGCAACCCATACCCATCCTTTGGTGCAACCCATACCCATCCTTTGGTGCAACCCATGCTCATCCTTTGGTGCAACCCATACCCATCCTTTGGTGCAACCCATGCTCATCCTTTGGTGCAACCCATACCCATCCTTTGGTGCAACCCATACCCATCCTTTGGTGCAACCCATGCTCATCCTTTGGTGCAACCCATACCCATCCTTTGGTGCAACCCATACTCATCCTTTGGTGCAACCCATACCCATCCTTTGGTGCAACCCATACCCATCCTTTGGTGCAACCCATGCTCATCCTTTGGTGCAACCCATACCCATCCTTTGGTGCAACCCATGCTCATCCTTTGGTGCAACCCATACCCATCCTTTGGTGCAACCCATACCCATCCTTTGGTGCAACCCATGCTCATCCTTTGGTGCAACCCATACCCATCCTTTGGTGCAACCCATACTCATCCTTTGGTGCAACCCATACCCATCCTTTGGTGCAACCCATACTCATCCTTTGGTGCAACCCATACCCATCCTTTGGTGCAACCCATGCTCATCCTTTGGTGCAACCCATACCCATCCTTTGGTGCAACCCATACCCATCCTTTGGTGCAACCCATGCTCATCCTTTGGTGCAACCCATACCCATCCTTTGGTGCAACCCATGCTCATCCTTTGGTGCAACCCATACCCATCCTTTGGTGCAACCCATGCTCATCCTTTGGTGCAACCCATACCCATCCTTTGGTGCAACCCATGCTCATCCTTTGGTGCAACCCATACCCATCCTTTGGTGCAACCCATACTCATCCTTTGGTGCAACCCATACCCATCCTTTGGTGCAACCCATACTCATCCTTTGGTGCAACCCATACTCATCCTTTGGGCTGTTTTTTTTTTTTTGTTATTTTCTACCACAGACGTGGCCACACATTAACAATGCTAACCACAATATATACATTTTCTTCTGTCCTCCGTGGACAGGATGAGAGCTCTGTTAAACATATAGTTAAGAGATTTATTGAACAATCAACCACAGACGGTGATTGTGGTGCTTTTAAAATGCTAATCTAGGCTCATACCCATCCTGTGGGATGTGGTCGATCCCATAGGGGTCCACAGCTTTCATTTTAGGGGTTGTGGTGAACTCTACTTTTATTTTATTTGCTGTGTTGGTCCCCACATTCGCTCAGGGGAGCCGTGGAGAACCCCCACAGTCAGTCTGTGGGCTTTCGAGGACCCCACAGTCAGTCTGTGGGCTTTCGAGGACCCCACAGTCAGTCTGTGGGCTTTCGAGGACCCCACAGTCAGTCTGTGGGCTTTCGAGGACCCCACAGTCAGTCTGTGGGCTTTCGAGGACCCCACAGTCAGTCTGTGGGCAGTGATGGACCCACACATTCATTATGTGGGCTGTGGTGGACCCCACACCAATGCCATGGGAGGTGGTTGACTCCACACCCCCCCCCCATTCATAGCACCAACAACAAACTTCATTCACTACAAACTAACAGCAATTCCCCCCCCCCTTCACTACACATTAACGACAACCCACATCCAATACCAACGACAACAAGCCCCAGACAACAACAACAAACGTTACAGGTTTACGCACCCCGCGCCCCGCCCCCATCCAAGAACATCAGATAGCCAGATTCCTGCAAGACACGACCAGTCCCACGCCAGCCTTGGCGGCAGCATGCTGCTCGTAGCCGAGCCCAGTGGTGCCTAGCGAAACCTCAGCCTCGCCAAAGCTCAAACCTACCACACCTATACTATCCAGGAGTCAGTGTTACACTGAAGGATACTGCGAGTCTCCTATTACTTTGACTCCGGGAACAATGCCAGCGACGACCACCTGCAGGCAGACGCCAAGGTTGGTATGTTCCTCTTGCTTATACTGACAACTGAAATACCCCCATGTATACCCAGCGTGGACCGTAGTGGCAACACACTGTACCATGTAGTGGGGAGAGACTGTACCATGTAGTGGGGAGACACTGTACCGTGTACTGGAGACACACTGTACCGTGTAGTGGAGAGGCACTGCACGATGTAGGGGGGAGAGACTGTACCATGTAGTGGGGAGACACTGTACCGTGTACTGGAGACACACTGTACCGTGTACTGGAGACACACTGTACCGTGTACTGGAGACACACTGTACCGTGTAGTGGTGACACACTGTACCGTGTAGTGGAAAACACTGTACCATGTAGGGGGGAGACACTGTACCAAGTAGTGGCAACACACTGTACCATGTAGTGGAAAACACTGTACCATGTAGGGGGGAGACACTGTACCAAGTAGTGGTGACACACTGTACCATGTAGTGTGGAGAAACACTGTACCATGTAGGGGGGAGACACTGTACCAAGTAGTAGTGACACACTGTACCATGTAGTAGAGAAACACTGTACCATGTAGGGGGGAGACACTGTACCATGTAGTGGAGACACACTGTACCATGTAGTGGAGAAACACTGTACCATGTAGGGGGGAGAGACTGTACAATGTAGTGGTGACACTGTACTACATAGTAGTGGCACTCAGTACCACGTAGTGGTGAAACACTGTACCACATAGTAGTGACACACTGTACCATGTAGTCGAAACACACAATACCATGTAGTGGTGACACACTGTACCATGTAGTGGTGACACACTGTATTATATAGTAGTGACACACTGTACCATATAGTGGTGAAACACTGTACCACATAGTAGTGACACACTGTACCATGTAGTCGAAACACACAATACCATGTAGTGGTGACACACTGTACCATGTAGTGGTGACACACTGTACCATGTAGTGGGGAAACACTGTACCATGTAGTGGTGACACACTGTACCATGTAGTGGTGACACACTGTACCATGTTGTGGAGACACACTGTACCATGTAGTTGTGACACACTGTACCATGTAGTCGAAACACACAATACCATGTAGTGGAGACATACTGTACCATGTTGTGGCAACACACTGAACCATGTTGTGGAGACACTGTACCACATAGCAGTGACACCGTACCATGAAGTAGTGACACACTGTACCATGAAGTAGTGACACACAGTACCATGTAGTGGCAACATACTGTACCATGTAGTGGTGACACACTGTACCAAGTAGTGGTGACACACAGTACCATGTAGTGGTGACACACTGTACCATGTAGTTGTGACACACAGTACCATGTAGTGGTGACACACAGTACCATGTAGTTGTGACACACAGTACCATGTAGTTATGACACACAGTACCATGTAGTTGTGACACACAGTACCATGTAGTGGTGACACACTGTACCATGTAGTTGTGACACACAGTACCATGTAGTGGTGACACACAGTACCATGTAGTGGTGACACACTGTACCATGTAGTTGTGACACACAGTACCATGTAGTTATGACACACAGTACCATGTAGTTGTGACACACAGTACCATGTAGTGGTGACACACTGTACCATGTAGTTGTGACACACAGTACCATGTAGTGGTGACACACAGTACCATGTAGTTGTGACACACTGTATCTTGTAGTGGTAACACACAGTACCATGTAGTGGTGACACACTGAACCATATAGTAGTGACACACAGTACCATGTAGTGGTGGCACACTGTATCATGTAGTGGTGACACACTGTATCATGTAGTGGTGACACACAGTACCAAGTAGTGGTGACACACTGTATCTTGTAGTGGTGACACACTGTATTATATAGTAGTGACACACTTATACCATGTAGTAGAAACACTGTACCATGTAGAGGAGACACAGTACCATGTGGGGGTGACACACTGTACCATGTAGTGGTGAAACTCAATACCATGTAGTGGAGACACTGTACCATGTAGTGGAGACATTGTACCATGTGGTGGTGACACAGTGTATCATATAGTGGAGACACACTGTACCATGTAGAGGTGACACACTGTATTATATAGTAATAATACACGGTACCATATAGTGGAGAAACACTGTACCATGTAGTGGTGACACACTGCACTATATATTGAGTGACACTGTATTATATAGCAGTGACACACTGTACCATGCAGCGGAGACACACTGTACCATGTAGTGGTGAAACACTGTACCATACAGTGATGATACATTGGACCATGTTGTGGAGACACTGTACCATGTAGTGGTGACACACTGTACCGTGTTGTGGAGACACTGTACCATGTAGTGGTGACACACTGTACCATATAGTGGAAACTCTGTACCATGTAGTGGAGACACTGTACCATATGGTGGTGACACACTGTACCGTGTAGTGGAGGCACCGTACCATGTAGTGGAGACACTGCACCATGAAGTAGTGACACTCTGTAGCATGTAGTCGTGACACACTGTAAAATGTCGTAGGGACTTACTGTACGATTTAGAAGTGACACACTGTACCATGTAGTGGAGACTCGCTGTATTATATAGTAGTAACACAATGTACCAAGTTGTGGAGACACACTGTAACATGTAGTGGTGACACACTGTAACATGTAGTAGTGACACACTGTACCATGTAGTGGTGACACACTGTAACATGTAGTAGTGACACACTGTACCATGTAGTGGTGACACACTGTAACATGTAGTAGTGACACACTGTAACATGTAGTGGAGACACACTGTAACATGTAGTGGTGACACACTGTACCATGTAGTAGTGATACACTGTACCATGTGGTGGTGACACACTGTACCATGTAGTGGTGACACACTGTACCATGTAGTGGTGACACACTGTAACATGTAATGGTGACACACTGTACCATGTTGTAGTGATACACTGTACCATGTAGTGGTGACACACTGTACCATGTATTGGTGACAAACTGTACCATGTAGTGGTGACACGCTGTACCATGTAGTGGTGACACACTGTACCATGTAGTGGTGACACACTGTAACATGTAGTAGTGACACACTGTAACATGTATTGGTGACACACTGTAACATGTAGTGGTGACACACTGTAACATGTAATGGTGACACACTGTACCATGTTGTAGTGATACACTGTACCATGTAGTGGTGACACACTGTACCATGTATTGGTGACAAACTGTACCATGTAGTGGTGACACACTGTACCATGTAGTGGTGACACACTGTACCATGTTGTGGAGACACACTGTACCATGTAGTTGTGACACACTGTACCATGTAGTCGAAACACACAATACCATGTAGTGGAGACATACTGTACCATGTTGTGGCAACACACTGAACCATGTTGTGGAGACACTGTACCACATAGCAGTGACACCGTACCATGAAGTAGTGACACACTGTACCATGAAGTAGTGACACACAGTACCATGTAGTGGCAACATACTGTACCATGTAGTGGTGACACACTGAACCAAGTAGTGGTGACACACAGTACCATGTAGTGGTGACACACTGTACCATGTAGTTGTGACACACAGTACCATGTAGTGGTGACACACAGTACCATGTAGTTGTGACACACAGTACCATGTAGTTATGACACACAGTACCATGTAGTTGTGACACACAGTACCATGTAGTGGTGACACACTGTACCATGTAGTTGTGACACACAGTACCATGTAGTGGTGACACACAGTACCATGTAGTGGTGACACACTGTACCATGTAGTTGTGACACACAGTACCATGTAGTTATGACACACAGTACCATGTAGTTGTGACACACAGTACCATGTAGTGGTGACACACTGTACCATGTAGTTGTGACACACAGTACCATGTAGTGGTGACACACAGTACCATGTAGTTGTGACACACTGTATCTTGTAGTGGTAACACACAGTACCATGTAGTGGTGACACACTGAACCATATAGTAGTGACACACAGTACCATGTAGTGGTGGCACACTGTATCATGTAGTGGTGACACACTGTATCATGTAGTGGTGACACACAGTACCAAGTAGTGGTGACACACTGTATCTTGTAGTGGTGACACACTGTATTATATAGTAGTGACACACTTATACCATGTAGTAGAAACACTGTACCATGTAGAGGAGACACAGTACCATGTGGGGGTGACACACTGTACCATGTAGTGGTGAAACTCAATACCATGTAGTGGAGACACTGTACCATGTAGTGGAGACATTGTACCATGTGGTGGTGACACAGTGTATCATATAGTGGAGACACACTGTACCATGTAGAGGTGACACACTGTATTATATAGTAATAATACACGGTACCATATAGTGGAGAAACACTGTACCATGTAGTGGTGACACACTGCACTATATAGTGAGTGACACTGTATTATATAGCAGTGACACACTGTACCATGCAGCGGAGACACACTGTACCATGTAGTGGTGAAACACTGTACCATACAGTGATGATACATTGGACCATGTTGTGGAGACACTGTACCATGTAGTGGTGACACACTGTACCGTGTTGTGGAGACACTGTACCATGTAGTGGTGACACACTGTACCATATAGTGGAAACTCTGTACCATGTAGTGGAGACACTGTACCATATGGTGGTGACACACTGTACCGTGTAGTGGAGGCACCGTACCATGTAGTGGAGACACTGCACCATGAAGTAGTGACACTCTGTAGCATGTAGTCGTGACACACTGTAAAATGTCGTAGGGACTTACTGTACGATTTAGAAGTGACACACTGTACCATGTAGTGGAGACTCGCTGTATTATATAGTAGTAACACAATGTACCAAGTTGTGGAGACACACTGTAACATGTAGTGGTGACACACTGTAACATGTAGTAGTGACACACTGTACCATGTAGTGGTGACACACTGTAACATGTAGTAGTGACACACTGTACCATGTAGTGGTGACACACTGTAACATGTAGTAGTGACACACTGT